CCTCCTCCCTCCTCCTCCTCCTCTCCTCCTCGTCCTCCTTGTTATCCTTGTCGTCCTTGTCGTCCTCGTCGTCTTCGTCTAACTGCGACCCGCGATTTACAGTGTTCCCTGCCGGACATCAACCACGACCATCCACGCCCAGTATGCCCTGCCGGACCTCAACCACGACCATCCACGCCCAATGTTCCCTGCCGGACCTCAACCACGACCATCCACACCCAGTGTTCCCTGCCGGACCTCAACCGCGAGTATCCACGCCAAGTGTTTCCTGCCGGACCTCATGTGGGAAGATATGGGACAAAGAATGTGCAGAAGAAAATTAGAAAGAATGTCAAAAAGAATATCAGAAGATATACCAGAAGATATGCCAGATAGAATGCCAAATAAAATGCCAGATAGAATGCCAGATAGAATGCCAGAAAATATGTCAGAAAATATGCCAGATAGAATACCAGATAATATGCCAGAAGATATGCCAGATAGAATGCCAGATAGAATGCCAGAAGATTTGCCAAATAGAATACCAGAAAATATGCAAGAAGATATGCCAGATAAATATACCAGAAGATATGCCAGACGATATGCCAGAAGATATACCAGAAGATATGTCAAAATATATACCAAAAGATATGTTAAATAGAATGCCAGAAAATATGTCAGAATATATGCCAGAAGATATGCCAGATAGAATGTCAGAAGATATGTCAGATAGAACGCCAGAAGATATACCAGATAGAATGCCAGAAGATTTGCCAGATGGAATGCCAAATAGAATGCCAGAAGATATGTCAGATAGAATGCCTCAAGATTTGCCAGTAAGAAAATGTATAAATGTCATGGTGGGGATCACACGAATTAAAATAATTATTATTATATTTAAAATTTAAATTAATTATTAAAAATATTTAAAAATAATTAATTCCCAAATAATTAATTTTTAGTTAAATATTTTATAAACATTATTAATTCAGATTGTTCCTAAAGGATACCCCCCATAAACCCATATCCCTTATTAATAATAACCACGATTTATCCTTAATTAATCAATTATTTTTCTGATCCATGAAATTTTAATAAATCCAATAAAATTTTATTAAGATCTAATTGAAATAAGCCATATCCAAATTTTTATGGATCAGAATTATGTATTATTAGGGGATGGTGAAGAAAACTAGCCAGAAACTACCTACCTACCTGGTGTGGGGAATTAATTAATCCGATATTATTATTAACTAAATTATAAGAAGATATTTAGAAATATAAATATATTATGCTAAAAATCAACTTTGCTCAGAAGAAGGAAAGAAAGTGAACCTAATAGGGTTGAGGGTTTGGTCCGGAAAGATTCCGTGGATCAATTTATTATTGGTAGGGGTTTATAATTTGGACCAATTTTCAATTGACCAAAGGTCAAGACATATAAGGGACCAAGTGTAAAAGCAGCAGAAATTCGAAGCATCCAAGCAGACCATTGTTTTTTAGCTGGTTAGACTCAGCCACCAGATGGCACACAAGCTGTTGAACAACTGGCCAATCGCCATGACAATCTCAAGGAAAATACGCAAGTACCACCACCCTTCGTACAAAATACTAATGAACCCAATTCAGCATAATGGAATTCTTCACAAAAGAGACCAAAATTGAATTTGTGGAGCTTATGAAAAAAGATGACCTGATTTGCCATGAACAAATCGCAGTGGATAAAGCCCAGATCCCCAAATACGCGAAGCCGACCAACCCCTCCGTTGTGCAATAGCAATCTTCTCAATTCACAGGCAAGCAGCAACGCTACAAACCAACCTGGGAAATGAGCTCAATATGGCGCAACAACGAATGGATCCTCAGTATGCAAATAGCAGAATATAACAAAACCCAAATTACCATCTATATTGTTGAAGCCTTGAAAAATCAATTCACAGAGAAATACACATCCAAACAACAGCAGTGGGGCGGACAAAAGGGAATCACACGAAGAGCAGACGGCTACAAGCCACAGGATTTTTTCAACATTCACATTGAGACACTCACCCAGCAGACAGCAGCAGCCCTTGACACACAGTACGCCACACTGCAGCATCAGCGGAAGCAAACCTACACCAAAGATAAGGACGATAAGATGGACGGAGGACTTCCTAACCTGAGAGGGCAGCGCAAAGGTGAGGGCAAGTATGCGGCGCAAAGGCGCCAGTAGAACGCAACTAATCACCACCCCATACAACATCAATTTCGGCCATACCAACTCTTAATAACCATTTCTGATTGGAATAATTTAATAACAAATCTCGCCGCCCAGTAGGCGAGCCGGGCAAACCGCTGGGCACTAACCCTATGACCATTTCTACCCACCATTTCTTGACAGCACACATTAATATCACAACATACCACATCCCCAAAAGGCCCCAGCGGCAACAAAGAGAGCAAATCCGGTCCAGCAAAAAACGAGGTTTTAGGTCCGAAGCCGCCCGTTTACAACGACAATGCAACCGACAACAAAAACGCAACGAGCAAAAATATATCTATCGGTGTAAATTTAACATGATATGCGGAGCAAAGGCCATGGGGGAGGTGGGTTAGGTGTCCCCATCCCAAGTTTTACACATAAGACTAAAATCTTTATGCCCTTAAAACGCATATCTAGCTTCACACAAGCGCCTCTACGAGGAGCGCCGCAACCTCAACAAAGCCAGTAGAATATAAATATCTTTAATATATGATTTTAAATTCAAAATCGTCATCTTTAATATCCGCTCCCTTTTAAAAGCAACTATGCACAGACAAATTATTGATCATATGCGTATATTCTCATATTGTGTATACAAGAGACGAGATCAAAGAATACAGCCCAGTATGTAGTTGACAATTTTACCTTCCTGACTATCAGCACTGTGAATACCAATCAACCAGAGTATGCAGGAGTAGGCTTCGTATTGTTCCCAATGCTCGGAATGCCCTTTTGTGCCTTTCTTTCATTAATAGCCGAATTATTTGCATCTCAGTGTTTATATAAAAAGGAAAATTAAATATCCTAAATATATATGTACCACAGAATACCCGACCAGAGGATAAACGTCAAGACCATTTTGAAAAATTACAACAGGCTATTTCCCAAATTGCTCGCAAAAGATCTCTTGTTATTTTAGGAGACTTCAATTTACGACTTCAAGGCAGATTGCATGGCGAAGAGGATGTTTTGGGACCACACATGTTTGGGAAAGCATGGACAGCTGTGGGGGGAAGAAACCGATAATAGGTTCCTATTTTTGGATTTTTCTCGTACAAATAATCTAATCGTGGTCATTACATGGTTCCAACAACCGCCAGCCAAACAGGTAACCTTTAAAGAACCGAGTGCGCATTTTTTGCCTCCAGATAATACCGATTGGAATCCCGCTAACTTTGCACAACTAGACATTTGCCTTTTACCTCAGCGTTAGCGTAACTCCTGCAAGAATATTTATATCCAGCCAAGAACAAATTTGGACTCCGACCATTTTCCCGTTGTTCTGTACTTGCAAATTAAATTCGGAACTAAATCAAAGGCGGCATATCGCCCACGTTGGGACTTCCAACAAACAACGGCAACCCAAATAGATACAATGAACAACACAATCAGTACAATACTCGAATCTGAGATACCTTACCAGGACCCTACCGCTCGATGGGGCACCCTAAGTACATTGTATACCCAAGCCATCGATATCCACATACCAAAATAAATCTTTCAACCTAAACAACCATGGATCACACAAATTACATTAAATCTCCTAGAGAGAAGGGGGCAGCTCCGCCAACAAGGCGACCTAGCGCAAGTAGCTAAACTCAACAAGATAATCAGAAAGGCAACAAAATTTGACAAACACAAAAAACTAGAAGAGCGGTGGAGACCCGTTACCAATCTGAAGAAGCCGTTCCCGTACAAGGGTTTCACACTAACAGACACTACCGGGCCGGGACCGCCCAGGAGCAACGCGCAAATTTTCGCCACCCACCTAGCCACCAAACAATGGCAGGAAGCAGGGCAACCGCAAGCACTAAACAGCATACCTATTTATCAAAATCCTCCGACCATTTCTAAAGTGACCATGTCTATCGAAAAATTAAAATTAATAGTGAAACAATCAAAAGCAGCCAAACGAATTGGTTAAAAACAATATCCCAAACGATTTCTGGAAATAACTAGAGGGACGGGGCTTGGATACATTATATAGAAATTTCTGGTCCAAAAATTTGGTTTACTAATTAGATTACTAATATAAAACCTTTTTTGATATATACAGGATAAAATTTCCAAATATAATTTATATTTAAACATAAATAAAATTAAATTAGTTCTATATAATAGTAACGCTTCCATTGCCTTTCGAGATGGTAATTTAATTCAACAAGTATCCTTGTTTCGATATTTAGGGGGATTTATTAACCAAATTAGTAAATTTAGTCCAAAAATTCGGCGATAAATAAATAAAATTAGGTAAATTCTAGAAATTAAAATATTTTTAAAGATATACAAGACTATCAATTTGTAAAAAAAATCCCATCTATAAAATATATATTATACCTTGGCTTGATTCAAAACATATGAATTCATATATGGTGCCTCACCAGC